GCCAAAGAATCATGCCTTCTATTCAGTAGGTTTGTTTTGAAGTGAGGGTACGATGCCTTGTCGGCAAGTTTGCAGCGTCACGCGAAATTGTAGTGAAGGAGGAATTCCGAACTCAATATTTCAAAGAGTGTCAAAAAGCTTTCAGATAAAGAGTTTCTTTAGTCAATTCCGTACAAGTGTACAGTACTTTGGGTAGTGAAGTACTTTCGCGAGGCAGGGGCTTGTTTAATAGGAAATGCAGTCGCTGAAGTTCATTTCTCATCGAATGATGATACCTGGATAAGTGAAGGAATTTCTTTCAACTTGACACAAGGGAACCTGTTTAATGGAACTCCATCAGCAGTGTAATATTTCATACGGAAGTCCCACTGTGCAATGAAAAAAAGTCAGAATATGCATGTAAACAACGCACTTCTAATGAGCTGGACGTTCTGTCCGAGGTGCTGGCATTAATTATAAAATCGGATATGACTTTTTGTCTGTCTGAAGTCGTAGGCTTCCGCGGCCAGAGTCATGTGGGTGATCTGGGCTGTCCGGATGACGCCGCATCGAAGGCTGTGTTGCCGACGTTTCGACCATCTTGTCGTGGTCTTCCTAAGAGCTGGTAAGCCTTCGACGCGGTGTCACCCGGACAGCCCAGATCACCCTTTTTGTCTGTCTGTTTGTTTTTTGCCGAAGATCTTAAGCACTTGATAGCGTATTTTAGTGATAAGGCTTGGTTTAATGGACGAATATGTTAACCAACAGATTAATAATCACTGAGCAACCGATTGTCCTGGAACAGCTGGATAACATTTGCATTTAAAAAAATGTCGGTGTATCGTATGCGATTTCACGAAGCCAAATAATTAACCCGGGTTTTTAAGAATCATCCTCAACGGGGATGCATATCAAAACATATTTAGAGGCTTTGTATCCCTTCTAGGATATAATGAAAGGAATTATTGGAAAGGAAAGGATTTTAGTCATGATTTTACCAAGATAGGGCGACATTACATATTCCCAAATTAAAAATGAAGTATTTAGAAATTTTTAAATTAAAAAAAATGAATTCCACGAAATCGTGGTTACCTCCTTCATTTGACTTGTCACCTCCGGATTATTATTTTTGGGGGTGCTTCAAAAGTAAAGTTTACGCTAACATGCCCACTAGTCTTGATGAGCTGTAGAAAAATATTGAGGAAACGATTCGTAGTATTGACAAAGAAACTATATCGGACTGAAATAATTGATCGTAAGCAAATTAATGTTGTGTATTGTAGGAAATGGTGGAAACTGGAAATTTTTTTGTGAAGTTGGCCTCATTCCAATACGAATACTTATTTTATGATAAATAATTTCCGTGTCCCCTTTAATCGATTATAAGTAATTTAAGTCATTTTCTGTTCTATTTTTGCTGGGAGATTTAAAATGTTTCATCATTGAGGTGGAGATGTTTGAGACGAAGAATAAAGCTGGCCCGCTCTTTCGTAACTTTGTTAATGTGACACTCTTTGAGTACTTAATAAAAATAATAATATTATATTATATATAGTTATATTATATATAGTTATTATCATTATCATTATCTTCTATATTACTAATTTCCAATGCATACACTAATTAAAAGAAAACTATGCAAGCTCCGGCTATGTCAGAGGTGACTACAGATTTGTTAGACCCAGAAACTCGGGAAAAAAAAAATTAAAAAATGAAAAAGTTGCGAGTTGGAGTAAAAAATGCAAATATTTGAATATTATTCCTATTCTAATAGTGCACATACCAGTGCGTCACTTTACATGAAAGCTGACGTAATCAGACAGCAAGGCTTCAAGAAAGAGGCCAGCCGTCATTAAATATTTAATATTTATCCTGTTATGTATGTTATTCTTGAGGAGTGGTCGTGTTACTTCTTGTAAATCCATATTGTGTGCTTTTGTTTAGGAACAGTTTTGCGTCCACAGGTCACTAATTATTATTATTGTTACATTTTACTGTCTCGCATTTGCTGCGTAATAAGAGAAAGTTATGTAGTCGTGCCTCGGAAAACGCCGAATATCTGGCAGGAAAACTCTCATTGCCGGGCTCTGGTGACGAAAAAGTGGATAAATCCTGTTGTTATGTGTAGTAAACCGACTGTCCAACCGACTGACCATCCGAAATCAACGATACCGCCTAAACCCTTCAGCAAATTCTCTCCAAAATTTATATTCCGCATCTGTCTGAGAGAACTCTAAGCTTTGGAAGTTTCCAGTGGACATGATTGAATTTTTAGGGTACTTTACATTAAGTCTCCAAAAAATCCAAAATTTTCTCAAAAATTGCAAAAAATGTTGATTAAACTTTGTCCTCGGGTAGCGAAAAGGACGCTGAAGAGAATGGTGCAGGTCGTATGTTCGTTAAAAACCCACATTTTTCGAAAATTAGAAAAGTGCAATTTTTAAGGCGTCATCCTGCAACTACAATATTGAAGAATGACATTTTTCTTCTTAATGAAATATGTTCTTTAAAAACATACTGAAATATATATGTTGCTAGTCTCATTATCGGCGAACTCCCTCTATTTTCAAAATTGCAACAACAAAAAATAACTACTTAAAAAGTTAACTCTATCTACAATTTTGTAGTTTCAAAACTGAATGTAATAGTAAATTGAAATGTATTTGTATTATATTGTAAATATAATAAATGTAAAATTAAAGTATAATAGTTTATTGGCAAAAGGAGTAGTTTTCGTGTTAGTTGTGCTTAAAATTAATACAATTATAAACAAACTATTTTCCAAAATACAGCTTCATTTTTTCTTTTTTCATTTTTTCCACCTATAGAAGAAGGGACGCTTAATAGAATGCCACAGGTATCATTTTCGTTGAACTCTCTAAATTTTCGAAAATTGCATATTTAGAAGTAATGCGAGAAAGTACGTGCTTTTTTAGCACCAATAGTAGAATATAATAAATATTCTTCATTAAGATTTTGTTCCTGGGCAGTTTTTTTCACTTTTAAACATTTTAGGAAAAAATCTCTGTTCTTTACAATAGATTACAATAGATTTTCTTAAATGCGAAACACCAGCATTTCCGGTGCCTTTCACTCCAGAACTCGTGAACTAGCGACGGCTTTTATGCTACGTCTCTGAGTCACTTGTTTGAGTTGAGAGGCTTAAGCGTACTTCCCCAGCGTGCTTGAAATAGCCAGCGTCCAACCCTCTCCTACTTAGTTGCCAATGCATTTTGTGTTACTGACGGTTGGTTATATATATATATAATATAATATAATATATTATATATATATATATCTTTAAATTGCCATTAATTTCTGAAAACTTCAACCAAAAGTAATGTACGGTTGTTTCTGATGTTTAAAATGTGGTGGCAAAAGTAATTGTATATCATTTACTGTAAAGATGCAATTAATTAATTAATATCTTTTCCAATAAATGATATAGAATTATTTTTGCCAGACATAATATCAGGATAATCAAAAGAACAGTACATATTTTAGTGTTGAACTTGTCGTTGTATATTATTATTATTATTATATTATTTTATAATTATTATTTTATTATTATTATTATTTCATTGTACTTTGCATAAGCGTAGATTCTGCAGAAATTGAAACTTCTTTAGGCAGACTGAAAGTCGGTAAGGCTCGGACTCCTAAGGCAGTTCAATTGTGTTTATTAATAATATTTTATATGTATTTGCCCGCGTTCTGCGTTTTGCCGCACTGTGCGGCTGGTGCTGCGGGGGGGGGGACGGGGGTGGGGGGACGGGCGCCGCGGCATGCCCCGGCGCGCTGCCGACGAGGTGCACCGCGATGAGCCGACTCCTGTTGGGCGTCGTCGCCTGCCGCCGCCGCCCTCCCGCGCCCCGCCGCCCGAGCCTCGGCGCTATCGACGTTTCCTCCTCGTTTCGGCCCCCTTCTTGCCGTCTGTTTTGGTGGTGGCGTTTTCCTTCTTTTTTTCCGTCTGCCCCTGTGCTCTGCCCGACCGTTGCTCGACCTCACTTTCGGCTGTTTATTTGAAGTATGCTGTGCTCCTGTTGTCTTCGTACGTTACTGAAAGCGTTCGTAACTTTTGGGCTATTTTGGGTATGAACTGTCGCCGATTTGCTTTCTATTCGTAACTTTTTCTTTTTGATCTACGAGATGACCGCATTCAGCTACCTCGAAAATGTGCTACCCTCTTTCAGTTGGGTCACTGTTTTAATTTTCTACCCGAAAATAATACAAATGGTGACAATGTGCCAAAGAATAATATAATTATTTGAAGTTTTCAACTCATCAACACATCTACTCTTTCCTTTGATAAACTGAAAATACCATGTTTAAAAATTTTGCTGCTCCCATTAAATGTATTAAGATAAAAATTCCGTGTTATGATACCGTAATGAATGACGGCTTTTCCACGATGACTTGTTCTCTCGCACACTCAGCGATGCAACAGCATGTTTGTTTTGTGGCGCCTCCACCTTGTAGTATTATCTCGTTCGAAACAGCCAAAGAGATTAGTACAGAAAGAACAAGTGGGCTCGATCACCGAAGAATCGGTTTATTTCTCGCCTCAACAACCGCAGCGGCCGGTAAGAGGCGGACTACGAGCCGTTCGGTAGCTCCTCAATGGACGCCCAGAACAATATTCTCTCTGCGCTCTCGAAAAGCGCGCCGTGCCGGCGGGGGGCGGCGTGGAGACGGCGGCGGTGAGACAGGGTGGTGAGCGGGGTGGGGGGGGGGAGGGGAGGGGCGCGGGCGGGAGGTTGGTCATAGGCGCCGCGCCACACAGCCGCTCGCTCGCCCACTCGCCCCACGCCCCGCGCGGCCGCGCCGCCCACCCGGGAGCGTACCTGCCCGACACCAGAGCGCTCCACCGTCCAGGTTCGCCGCCGCGCCCCCCCTTCGCCGCCGCGCGCGCGCGCAAACAGAGACAGGTGCCGACGGGGGGCGGCGGCGTGGCCGTGAATAGCGCTTCGCGAGTAATCAGCGCGTGCTATCGGCCTACACTTAGTTGAACGCAAGATTTTATGCTGCGCGACGATCGCAGTGGCTGCGGAGGCGGCGCCGCAAGTGGGCCCAGCGCGGGGCGGCCGGCGGAAAAAGGGGACGCGTGATTGCTCACGTGCACGCCGTCACAGCACAATGTATAGGAGGAGCTGCGTCGCAGCGGCGATGTAGTGATCTCAGGAATTGCTTCCATAACCATCAATAAATCATTAGATACGTGCATTTACTATTATAACTACGAAACTCTTATCTAAACAATTATTATTGTCCAGACACTAATAGTATTTAAAAATTGATGATTATTCAGGTATTTTGTTGCTAGTGAGTTTTGTTTTATAACACGAATAATTTTTGTCAATTTTGTATCCTAATCCATCAGTTAAGGTATTAATTAACAAAATTTAATTTAATGTATAATTTATTTTACGATGTAGGTTTCGAAGGAGAAACATCAAAGCGTATTATTTTTGTGAGTGAGTAGCGTCATTATTTCGCTGAACGCTGTCGCGGGATTTTTGTCGATCGTGGCGCAGCGGAGAGAAAAGCACACAGCCCGCCCCGCATGATCGGGAAATAGTGCAGAGCGGCGCGTGGTGGCGGCTGGAGCGTCGGTAGCACGGCGGCGGGGCGGGGGGGGGGGCGTGGCGTAAGGGGGCGCGTGGCGGGAGGGGCGGAGGGACGCGCGGGGTCGCTATGGGCGGGAGGGACGGGAACAGAGAGAGCGCCGTGAGAGAGAGACAGAGACCAGAAGAGACGGAGAGGCGGCGACACGCGACGCGACGAGTCGGCGGCGGCCGGTGATGGTACAGTCACCGCCAAAGAGCCCTGCACGCCGCGCGTAGGAAGTCTGGCTGGTTTGTGTGGTCTGGCATATGGGGTCAGCCCGGCTGCGCATCTCGCCGCTGAACCGCCAGGCGCGCGCGGCGCGCTCTCGCTCTCTCTTTCTCTCTGTCCCTTCTTGCCCGTCTCTCTCCCGCGGCGGCGGCGGCGGCGGCGGCGCAGTCGCCTGGGCGCCCCCGGTCTTCCCCCAGACCGCGCCTCGCCCTCCGCCACCGCCCCGCCGCCCTTCCGCTCGCCGCGCGCCGTGCCACCGCCGCGCCGCTCGCGCGCTCGGGCCCGAGGATATAAACTTTTGTTGCTAGCGGCCGAGCACAGTATACACACCACCGCGGCGCCACTGCTGTTGGGTTTCCAGCGTCGTTTTTCGCCCCGAAAAAAAAAGCGGTTAAATCAATACGTGCATACACGAGACGGATTTGGGCGAGGATCCCTAAGCGCGTGTAGTAGTCGAGTGGTGTCCGCGGGCGGTGCGCCGCCCGACTGCAGCGCGCGCGCGCGAAGCGGCGGTAAAACGTCAGGCAAAGTGAAGAATCGAAAAAAAATCTCGAGCGACTCACTGTCAGCGTATGCTGGCGTACTGGATGCGAGGTACTACCCCAGGTTATTTTGGTGTTGTGTCATAATTTGTCCTTGTTGCATTTCCAGTTCGTGATCATAAGTATTGTTGTTCGTATTGGGTTGAGCACGGGGATCTTGCGTGGAGATTGGAGTGTGGTAGAAGAAAGTGTTTTATTTAGAGGTTTGTGAGGGATTAGGTGAGGAGGCGGTCAATGTGGCGGCGTGTAGCGTGGCATTAGTATGGAGCGTGGTGGGGGGCGCACGGGAGCGCCAGGCAACCACCGCGGCGCGCTCCGCACTGCAGTGGCGACGGCGGGCGCTTTTGCGCCCCGGTCGCGCGCGCCCCGCGTCGCCCCACGCGGCGGTGGAGGCGGCGGGCGGCGGCGGTGGCGACGGTGGCGGTGGCGGACGCGCCGGGGCGGGCGGGGCTCACCACCGTCGAGGATTTGGTTCTGCGCACGACTTGGCAACGCCGCGTAGCTATAACCGATATTGTGGCCGTCCGAAGGGCGAAAAGGAATGCAAGGGAGGGGAAGAGCGGGTCAGACCGGTGCAGTCCCCCCTCCGCCGACGCCAGCCTCCCCACCACGCGCGCTTCCCCTCCAGCTTCCCCCACCACGCCGCCGCCTCCACCGCCGCCGCCGCCGCCTCCTCCTCCGTTAGCTTCAACAACCTCTCACCAAGCTTAGTCCGACAGTTTTACCTTCAGCCGTTTGGAGATAGCACGCGCGTTCGCGGCAGTCGTGGTGCTATATGTACAAGTAGATAAGTTAGAGTCCAGTTCGGCCTGTGCTTACACGCACGTATACGTTATCGGATTTTGACAGCCTTATTACATCTTTATGTGTGTGTTCCAATGCTGGGCTATACATCCTACAGGTAGATAATTTTCATAAGTTTAAATTATTATTTTGTGTATGAAATGTATATTTGGCGTTGAGGAGCGCTCGACCAGAAGACAAGTGTTGTGTTTTGTGCCCGCCTCCGCGTAAGGATTACGTTCACTGACTTCACGTCGAAGAGGAGAATGGTGTATCATCGAACCTCAGTGCTTTAAAATCTAAACTGCTGCAGTGCTTTGAGTGTGTGGGTGTCGTCTGCCCTTCGCCCGCGTTTAGTAGACCTGTGGACGCCTGTCGCCCGTTGTCGCAGGAAATATGAGAAATTTCTCGCCTGGACATACGCATTAAAATGAATCGGAAGGAGTGTCGTATTTTATTGAGTGTGTAAAAGCGTGTGCTACTTCGATTGCCCGCCACTAGGTGCCGACACCTTCCAAAAACTGACTTGACCAGTTAGTGGTGATATTTACGAGAGGTGCAATGGGACGCTTAATGACACAGAGCATCCTTTGCCGTAGACGGGCTCTAAATCACGATCACGCGCTCGGAAAGCACGCATCCCCACGCACTGTTCACTTCTGACGAACGTAGCGAGTGGCCCCGTGATTGTTCTGAATTGGATTCTGCCCCCTTTTTTCGTGTGGATTCTTGATTGTTACCCAGTGGCCATAAGACACCCTAGTTCGCCCCCAGCTTGGATGTTTTGTGTGAAGTGAATGGGATTTTTCCTGGAAGTGGCGATAGTGCGTTGAGCGTTGTGAACACAACAGCTGTGCGCTATGCATTTCATCTGAGTGGTAGCCGATGTTTGGCATGTAAGCTGGACTATAATCAGGATCTATGACGCATGCTTGTAGTCAGTGTTGTAAATATTAGTTTATTCAGTCTGTGCTTTCAACATATTTCCGAGCATTCTTTTTTTAAAAAATTTATTTCGTGCTTAAATTTCAAAATAACGTCGCCAGGACAAAACGACCCGTGTAATATGATTACATTTTTTTTATTGCCGTTGTCACTGTATTTAGTGGTGTCAATGTCCACATTCGTCGTTGCGGCGCATGGTGCCTAAGTTTCGATTGGGGCAAAAGATCGTACTTTAGGGGGTACGCCCGCGCGGACTGCACCTGCTCAGCGGGCGCGCGACTCGCCAGCCACCGCGAGTGCCCGGTCGCGAATGGCCGCGCGGCGCAGCGCGGCGGCGAGCCGAGTTGTGGGGCTCATTCGGCAGAGGTCGACACTGTACGGCCGTTCTAATGATAGTTGCTGAATATGCGCGGCGCTGCCCATATGTTTTGCGATGAGAACTATTTGCGGCAAATGTTGATCAATCGCGGTGGGGCTCGGGAAAATACGAGGTAATTGTTATTGAATGATTACGTGTTATAAGTGAATACCTGTTTAACGAGACGTTAACACTAATATTCCGATGATTGCGGATTGCATATTGAGTAGAACAAGTAAAAATTTCATTCATTGGGTACGTATAAATATAATCGAGATATATCATTTAATCATCATACGAGAATCTGGTTTTCGAGAATTAGACTTCGCGATCTAACCCATCGTACGTCACACGTAGAAATAGAATCATAGCCTTGGAAAAGAGTTACATTCTCAGAATAGTTTACATAATTGCGAATAAATTGAATTTTTTAGCTGCTCTCTGAGAAATGAAAAATCTGCCTTGTGACGTTCCTCAGGTTAAAACATCGCATGCAGGTAGATAATGCTAGGAAAAAATGATATACGCTAGCATTTGGCAAGGAAACGATCTTCTCTCAGTGGGTCCAAGTCGTATGTACGATGTCGCCGATTCAGGTAACGGATGAGAAGTAATTCGCGAGTCGGTCAGCGTTCATGTGAGAACACGCACACAATACACGCCGATTGTCAGCATAGACTCGAAAGATTCAAAGCCTCAAAAGACACAATACTATTTAAAAAATAATTAAAAAAAGATCTATGAATTCCAATAACTAATCGGTAATCCGCGAAGTCAGCGCCCACTCGGGCAAAAGTCCGTAAATGTTCCACGAGGGCTGCAACGCTCGTCGACAGTGTCGCGGGCAGGTGAGCGCCGGGGCCGGCCGCCGCCGCCCCCGCACGCGCCGCCGCGGAGAGAGAGAGCGGGCGTCGCGACGCCGAGGCCACCGGCCCGTCCGCCCGCTCGGCATGCCTGCCTGCTTGCCTGCGCGCCCCGCTTGCTTAACCCACGGCGGCGTCGGGTGCATGCGACCGCGATCCGACCCGATCGGCGCTGACGGCGGCTTCGGCGCCGCGACGCCGCACGTGCATAGGCGCCGCCCCCGCGCTCCGCCGCGCTGCTGCTGCTGCTGTAGAGTTGCATGGCGCAGGTGCTTGTTGAGGTTGAGTTGTTGTGTGCATTAGTGCTTCGGGTTGTGCGCGAGCAGGCGGTGTTTGATTGGTTTGAGTATGTGATTGACACTTGAATGAAGTCTAGGCAGTTTGGCGGTAGCGGCGCTCTGACAGGCGTAAAATCAACCGTTTTGATTTGTTGTGTGGTACGAGTGTCAATACCTTAGAATATTTTGCACGCTGAGCGGTCCTGGCGATGAAATTAACTGGGGACGAAGTGAATCGCGTTGAACTCGCGAACAACGCGACCTGATGGTCCGTTTGGTCTCAGTGTTGTCGATAACGCCGCAGAATCTTCACGACTGTTTCTCAACTTGTGGAAAAAGTGTAGAGGGCAATGCCGAGTGTTATCTGGCTTTGCGGTTCCGCGTGGAGGAGGACGCGGCGTGCAACTGCGCTCTCTGAGGTTCAGTGCGTGCGTTTGTATTTTCCGGGTGCAGAGACATCGCTGCTGTCGAGTTCTTTGCGAAGTTCAACCAACCCGTGTCGATCCGAAGTGTTGTGTTTGCCCAGTTCGCGATGAACGTAGGTAGTAGATTCTAGTAGTGATCGTGATGAAGTTTTAACGCGACAGAGCAACGGAGTTTGTGGTTATAAGTGTAGTGCCGATCTCTCGGGTGTTGATATTCGTGTTCTGCCGAAAGGAAGTCCATCCCGTGCGTCAACCTGCAGCGCCTGTTTCCTTTTTGCCTGTTGCTTGAGGGCCACGCCGCTGTATATAGCTTGTGCGTAGTGAGTAGCAAGGTGCATGTGTCGCTGTCTCCCGCATGCTGACTGAGCCTCCCCGGGGTGGGGTGGGCGGGGCGGGCGGGCGCGGGCGAGGGCGAAGGGCGATGAGGCGAGCGGGCGAGGGCGCGACGGTGGAGACCGGGTCTGCGAAGAGTTGTCGCTCACCCCGCGGCGACGGCGTGTGTTTCAGGGAGTGGTCGCCTGGAGGCGCCACGCAGCAACAGTTGTGCCGTGGTGACCACGGTGTGGGGAGTGACGACGTCGACGCAGTCCGGGCCCCACAGCAACTTCCGCTGGCAGCGGGGGCGCGCGGGGGGGGCGGCGTGGGCCGGGCGTAGCAGCGAACGCCTTCCCGCAGGGACCGCCCGGCAAGCAGCGGCGCCGCGCCGCCGCCAGCCGCCCGCTTCGGGGGCGGCTACCGGCAGGCCGTCCCGCCGGCGTGTGAGTCAGAGCGAGCGCGCGGCGTGAGCGCCGGGGCGCGGGGCGGGGCCGGAGCGAGCGGGCACCCGCTGCCGAGCGAACCCGCAACCCCCCCCCCCACCTCCGCATGCCTTGTCATTCTTCTGAGATGGACCTAGTTGGCCAGAACAGAGTGACATGTTCCGTCCACTCCACCGCGGTCGGCAGAGTGGCGAGCATGCTCTGTCGTGAACCTCTCCCGCACATCTTTTTGAGCGAGCACGCACGTACCCTGCATGAAGTTTACACCTAGTTGCGTGTCGCCAGGTGATCTTCCCCACGTATGTTGCTGTGATGTTCGGATGTAAGGAGTGCATTTCTGGAAGCGACTCAACGATATACTTTGTACGAACACTTGCGTTCATTCTGAATGTTCAGGCGAAAATCCAACTGTTCCAAGTTGAGAAGCGGCCATTGCGTTAATAAGCTTTTTGTTTTGTGCGAGAACATAAGAAAAATTTCAATTTGACTATAAATTCGTTGAAGTGTTCGAGAAATAAGTTTGCGAATCGAATATTGTCAATTGTATTGGAATGTCGGGTTCACCACAAAAGTGAGAAGTAGTTGCTCAAAGCATAACAGAAAGTTTGCGTTTATCAGGAGTAAAGTGAAATCGCTTCCCAAGTTTTCACCAAAAGTGGTTTACTTTGTCTCACACAGACATGAAACTGAGCGTCATGTCTGTTCTACATGTCTTGTACATAGGTTGCATTTTTCTGCGATGAAATATTGATGTGGTATGATGTGAAAATCTTACGAATCGCGTTCAGAAAAGGACTATTTTGCAAAACGTTATAACACATTGTTTTGATTGCAAGACTTTGTTCTTGCGAGTGGAGTGTTAGTACGAAATGTTGCGTGTAAGAGTTATTGGCAAAACGCAAAAGATGTATAGTTATGGATATTAGCGTGCGTGGAGAAAATAAGTTTTATTATTCAGCTGGACAGGTGCCATGTACAAAGAGAAGTAGGACGTGAAAGGCTTCGTACCAGATACTACTTACGGAGAAAAGTGTATTTCTCGAAGCCTTGTTTCGTGGTATTCATTTACGATCGCTCTATTTTTGTGTGAGTTGTCCTAGAGACAACAGAAAATTCGTCACTCACATTTCCATTGCGTTGTGAATTCAGTGTCCTGCATTTGCCACAAAGTCAAATTGCAATTTCTTTTGTTTTTCTCATTTCATATGTTCGTTTGGTCGCCAAAATAAAGTCGCATGTATGAACATCAAATTGATTTAAGTAAGGAATCAAAAAAGAACGATTTATAAGATTGATACAATTTAATTATTGCTTCTTAGATGATCGCAACAGTTAGCTCACATTTCATTTGAAATGTTTGACTTGCTTTTGAGCGACCTGACGTGCATATATGTTCTTACATGTTTCTTCACAGGACTCTGCAAACCCTGTTCGTTGTGCTCTGCCGAATTTTGATAAATTCATACTGACATCATAGACGTAAAATTGATAGCTCATTGTTACAGTAATCTTATTGTAAAAGTCATTAAGCAGTTAAATCGCTTAATCGCCTTCGTATTTTAAACATTTGTTCGTAAAAATGAAAATTAAATTCACCTGTCGTGGAAACATAGATCATTTGTAAGTGTAATTGTAGCCCTAAGATTCGACTGCGAATCGGGGTGTGGTGTCGATGCCCGCGCTGAGCTGTCAAAATTCGGTGGAGCCAAGCGACGAACGCGGTGAGCGGAGGGCGCGGCGCCGCACGCGGCAACAGCGGCTGCGTCGTCGCGAGCGCGTCCCGCACGCGTGTGAGAGTTTTTAACGCGTCGCGTTCCCACGCTGTGTGCTGCAGCGGCGTCGGCGGCGGGTATGGCGCGGCCGGCCCCCAGGCCTCGGGCGGGGGGATGAACGCCGGGGGCGCAGGCGCGACGGCGGCCGGTGGGCCCGGCACCCCGGGGGCGCAGGAGGGCGCGGCGCAGTACCACCCTTCGCCGTCGGCGCTGAGCGCGGCAGCCATGGTGGCGGCCGCCACCGCCACAGCCACCGCCACCGCCAGCGTCGTGGCGCTGCAGGAGCGGCAAGAGATGGGTTCGCAGTTCGGACAGGTAGGCGCACCCCCACCCCATCCCCACCCCCCTTCGACATAGTCATCCCGCCAAAGGGCGGCAATACTGGAGTTGAGAGGGCCTTTGCCCAATTCTGCGCTGTGGGTGCCCGTCTTGATTATCAGCCACCCCGTCACTTGAGGGGGGAAAGGATCCATAAGTCTCTGTAATACACGTATTTACACGAATCGTTGACTTGTGTAACTCACGTAATGATTCCTCTTCCGAGTGGTTAAAATGACGTCCATTTCACGAGAAAAAAAATCGAAGAAACAATTACATCTCCCAAATAGTTGTCTTTAAACCGGTTTAAGTCATGTGATGGTATTCAAAAAAAAATTAAAAAAGTTGTTTTAACAAGTGGCTACAACCTATATATTCTAATCTGTATCAAAGGCTATTTTAATTAATAGTATCCTGATGCGGCACAATCGCAAACAAATGTTGTCCGTCTTTCGGCTCCTTAACTTACCCCACCGGCCCACTGTGTTACCTGCGTTGGTAGGTAAGCAGTCGCATGTTACGTCGCACGACGGCGCGGTTCTTCTGCTGTCACCGAATCCCATTGGGTGCGCTGCCAGAGCGACTACCAATGAGAAGGACTGCAGGAACGGATCCATGCATCGTCTGGGGAATCCAGGGCGACCTGAAAGTCTTTCGTTCCTTGCGTTCTGCACATTGCGGGGATGGCAAGCGATCGCAGAAAGTAGTTGCTTTCTAGTGTGGAAGTGATGATTGTGAAATTCAGCCATACCCCCCTTTTTCTTGACCCAAAATAATGACATTTATTCAATGATTACTTGAAATAAAATTGTTCGTAAAAATAATTCTGCCCTTTTCTCTTGCATGCCTTTATTGATTTATTTCGAAACCTGCCATCACAGCCCTTCTTAGTTATTAGCACTGCTTTACAATGATTTCACATTATTGCTGCCCCAGTATGAATGTCTTTTGAAATATATGAAATATTCAAAATTACATTGCATGTATAATTTTCACCGTTGACTATTTGGAGAAATAATCAATATTTCATTGTAAACTGTGCTATCACTATATTCTATATCTAGAATGTGTTTCATTGTGGAATGTGATGCAGGTTCCTGAAAGATGGAAAAAATCCAATCGACATACTGTGTTTTTTTTAAGCTAATCATCTACCAATAGCACCCTACTTTAAAACTTAATTTTTTTTATGTTAGAATAAGCGTATTCATATGGTTTGGCTTGTTGCACCTGTCAAGTAGTTTGCCCTTTTTTCAAGCATTACTGTTAGTTCTTGCCCAGTGTCCCAAGGTACACTGTATCTATATTTGTTATTTGATATTGAATGTTTCTGTGTTGCTCTTCTGCTAGCTTAAAGATTTGCTGGGATTTTTCCTTAACCCTTCCTGTTTTTATCCCTTATATTCAAGACCTGTACTGAGTACTCTTTGCCTGTTCCAGTGACGAAGTTTCTAGTGGAGAGTTTGTGAATGTTAAAAGACAATGCAGTCTTGATGCTTAGTACCTAGTGTTACATGTTCCTTGCGTCAAAATATTTGCATGTTGAGAATATAGTTTCGAGGCCAGCATGTGGAATGTAATGTAGTATCAAGGAAGATATCTTTAAAGTGATACTTCTTAAATATTAGCTATTGAATTTGCTTCATTTCAGGTAATTTATTATTATATTTTATACATGTTCATGAAAGGAAGTTAACCGAATTTTCATAGTCTTTTTTTCCCTTGAAAACCATTTTCTAAAATCGCGTACATAGGACTTCATTTAATGTTAATGTTTTTATTTGCAATAGTGGCCTGTAAGAAACTTAATTGTATTGCAGAATGTCAAAATACACCTGAAAACTGCATTCAAATATCTTGCTGAAAAATTTAGGGATGGTGGTCACCAGATCAAACTAACGACTCAAAAAATGGTAAACTTCTGTCATGAAATTGAAGAAGTAATTGGTTTTTTAAAAGGCATAAAGGAACAGTTGTTTTTGATAGTATTTGATGGGGGCAGAAAAGTTCCATTTGCAAATTGTTGCATTGTCTTTCAAGAGCACATTCTCTCCTCGTTCACAAATAAAATACCATTCTTTTACCTGGCATCTCTCTGTTTTAACAACTCACAAAATCCTTACAAAAATTAGGTCTCAATATTATGTGAAGGACCTAAAATTAAATCTCTTCCCTCTAATTTTCAAATATTGTGAAGCCAAGAACTCCAATACAAATTACGGTGGCAATGTGTTTCAGATGAATAATGTTCCCCAACATGGGATGCAGGCTCAGCAGTATGGGGCAGGATATGGGACCCAGCGGGCCCAAGGACCTCTGGGGATGGGCAATCCTACGTCGGCAATGACCACCATGGGCAACATGGGTATGGGCAACATGGGAGGTGGCATGAATGGCATGAGTCCCATGAGTTCAATGGCCAACATGCAAATGATGGGCCAGAATGGTGGCATGCATGGGAACATGATGGGAGGAATGGGGCCAGGCTCCATGCCCGTGCCCAAGATGGGAATGCAGGTAATTTTAAAATTGCCAAATTATTAAGAGATGGGGGATTTACCTTCATTTGAAATCTTCATATGCAATTATCACAATGTATTTTGACTTTCTGAATCACTTTAATATGATGAAATGCAACATATATTCTATATTCTTTATTCTTTCTTTTTTGAATGATTGTAAACATTCAGTCGTTCACCTTGCAGGGACCAGCTGGTGGTCAAGTGTACAGGAGAATGACCCCCTATCCCTCTCCTGCAATGCACATGACACAAAAGAGGCAACAAGCTTATTCTACCCCAGGACCTGCTTCAACAATGCAGCCTGGTTTCTCTCCTGCAGCTGGACCACAGGTGAATAGCAAATTTTAATTTCTGACTTCTTGAAAAAGGTGTCTCATTTTTTCTTTGTTAAATTTGAGGCTAAAGAATATGTTAGTGTTCTTATTGCATTAAAAGTAAAATTTTCAGTTTTGTATGTATTATGTAAGAATGATTCTTGTTTATTGATTATTCTTTAGTGTTAATAATTTAAACACAAGGCAGTAAAACCTAGCTTACTCAAATTTGAATTTATCATGTTGTACAACACTCAAGTTCAGAAGTCAATTATTCTAGTGCACAGTAGTGCCCTTAACATTTTTACTATTAATGGATTAAATTTGAAGTGAAGCTCTTTTCTTTGCAGTATCCAACTGGTTATGGAAGTGGTCGACCTGCATTCCAAAACCAGTATCCTTCACAACAACCTATGGGTCCTACTGGTACATTTGCACCTGGCACTGGTGTGCGGGGTACAATGCGGCAGACCACTCCCCCTTACACGGCTAACGGCCAAGGCAGTCACCAGTACTTCAACACTGGGGCCATTCCTGGAGCCATGTCCGCCCATCATAATGGCAGTGCGGCTGCGGGGCAGTTCCCAACAAGCCACCACCAGGCAGCGGGGGCACCAGCGTACGGGAGCACGGGTACTGGAGCTCAGTACGGCGCTGGGGCAGCTAGCCAGTTCCAGCAGGACGTGAACAGCATGAGGAGCAACATGAGCTACCAGCATAGCCCCATTCCCGGCAATCCCACGCCACCTCTCACCCCAGCCAGCAGCATGCCACCATACATCAGTCCGAACCCTGATGTGAAGCCAAATTTCTCGGAGCTCAAGCCACCACTACCCATACAGAGTGAGTTCAGAAGCAACCAGTGGGTGTGCATCCCACAACGTGCGTGACATTGTTGAGATCACAGAATGCTTTTGAGAGTGCTGCCTTGTGCAGAAATAAATTTCAAAAACACCTCGTTGTGTTTGCCTAAAATTGATTGATACTTCAAGTTACTTCCTCTATGCTGGATCTCTACTGACTGAGCTGCTAACAAATCATTACTATTTTATACATTATCAATTGTAATTATTTAACATAATAAAAGTATGTTTGTATTTTCAGAAGATGATGAATTACGCTTGACATTCCCTGTTCGTGATGGCATCATCTTACCACCTTTCCGCTTGGAGCACAACTTGGCAGTGAGTAATCATGTCTTCCAGCTCAAACCCACCGTTCATCAGACTCTCATGTGGAGGTAAGGAGAAGGCAGATCTAAATTAACACTTTTTACAGAAATTCAAAACATTATTATTTTCCCCAATGTTCTAACGATTATTCTGAGATTTAATTTTTATTTTTATAGGTCTGATCTGGAACTCCAGTTGAAGTGTTTCCATCACGAGGACAGATTAATGAACACCAACTGGCCTGCTAGCGTTCAAGTATCAGTCAATGCAACTCCCCTCAGTATTGACCGTGGAGAAAATAAAACCTCTCATAAACCTCTTTACCTTAAAGAAGTATGTCAACCAGGTCGCAACACGATTCAAATTACCGTTTCTGCCTGCTGTTGTGTGAGTATGAAGTTTCATTGTTATGTTAAATGCAGCGGTCTTTGATTCTGATGGATAAATTATTAATGAATTGCCATGTTTTTTTTTTTTTCAGTCCCATCTCTTTGTTTTACAATTAGTACACCGACCAAGTGTAAGAAGTGTGTTACAAGGATTATTGAGAAAAAGACTTTTGACTGCTGATCATTGTATAGCAAAGATTAAGCGAAATTTCAGTAATACAGCATCCTCTGGAGGAGGCATGGGCACGGACAGAGACGGTGTCGAGCAAACTGCCCTAAAGGTGAGTTCGGTACAGTGAAATTGATTTTCATCTATCTCTCTTTCTCCTTCATCAGTAAACAATACTGTTCTGTCTCTCGATAAAGCTTGTGTTAACATCGATGCAGGTGTCATTGAAGTGTCCCATCACCTTCAAGAGAATAACCCTTCCTGCTAGAGGTCATGACTGTAAACACATTCAGTGTTTTGACTTGGAGTCCTATCTTCAGCTGAATTGTGAGAGGGGTTCTTGGAGGTGTCCTGTTTGCAAGTATGTATTTACTCTTCTTAAATTTTTAATTTGCTCGTACCATTACTTTGTATAGATAATATTTAAAAGTTCAAAATTAATTTATCTTTAATATCTATTTCAGTAAACCTGCTCAGCTGGAAGGGCTAGAGGTGGACCAATACATGTGGGGCATCTTGAATACTCTGAACAACTCTGAAGTTGAAGAGGTGACTATAGATTCCTCGGCTAATTGGAAGCCAGCAAAAAGTATTCAAGGCATAAAAGTGAGTATTCATTTTCATTGATATGTTCTGTTGTTAAATTGTTTTCAGAATATGCTTTGAGAATTTGTTCTTTTCTATAATGCTTTTAAATTTGTTAAATGTGATTTGTCTTTCCTTTGTAGACTGAAGAGGATAGTGATTCCTGTGGGGCAAAGCGAATGAACAAAGCAATGTCTCCAGGTAGTATGACCCTCCCAACAATGAATAATTGGGATATGAACCAAGCCATGTCACCATACATTCCACCAGACATGAACAGTGAGTAATTCTCAGACATTTTATTGTAGCTCTGATGATCAGTTGTGTGGAAAATTATGTGATCAGTGGATTTTTCCCCAACAGGCATTGCAAGTGGTTCCATGATGAACAGTGGACCTCCTCCTTACAATGCTGCTGGCATAAACAGAGGGAATTCCTACGACTTCGGTGCTGGTTCGAATCCTGGTAGTAATGAATATGCTGGTGGAGGTGGACCATTATCACATTTAAGTGAATCGGTCAATTCTTTGGATCCTCTTAATGCAATGGAGAAAACATTGAATGAACAGGTAATAAAATGCTAGAAAAAAACTTTTTTTTCCAACTTTCAAAACAGAATGAAGGAAGTCATTTCTGTGGATCAACCTGATAAGGGAAGTTCTATTTAAGTAACAATTCTCTTTTATATTTATGTTGTGAATGGAATGAACAATTTTCTATATTAAACATTGAAATTTTTTGCTGCTATGAAAATGTATTCTTCAGTGTCATTGAAATGCTGAGAAGAGTAGTTAGAAAAATTTAATTTCCATTGTCGATTGACAGAATAAAAATCAGATACAGGCATGGTTCTTCATTCTGTTGTGCTTTTTCTGCTGTCAGTCTGTTTCCAGTGTGCATTGTCTCTATTGCTTCTTCATTTAGTTTTCAATTCTCCTTTTTTCAGTTCTATTCTTTTTAACACTCCTTTACATAACATGTACATGTAGTGTAAATTCTTTTTATTGCAGATGCCTCATACACCCCATACACCTCACACTCCACATACACCTCACACCCCTGGAGGAACACCCAGCGCTCACACTCCAGGAGGTGGCAATAGTGGGCCTCCCAGCGTACCTCCTGCCACCACCACCACTGATGGAGTTGTTGGAAGCGTCTCCACAAGTACGGTTAGCAATAACACAAACACCACTGGTGCAGGCACTGGCAGCCACTCGACCACAAACACGAGTGGAAGTGCAGGCACGAATAATGCCACAACGGAGACTCCTGATATTCCATCGGACCTCAACTTCGATCCTGCGGCTGTCATTGATGGTGAAGGCCAGGGACAAGAGGGCCTCAATGTAAGTACTTTTTTATTCTTTCTTAATTCTTAGTAATAAGTTAATTTAGATCCTTGTAATTAATTGGTTTCTCTGTGCAGAATCTGTAAAAAAACATTACTAATGATTTAATTACCCTCTTAAATTCTGAATTTCAATAGAGATTACATTTTTGCGGTGATATTGAGGCATTAGAATATTTCTGATCTGATTTTACCAAAGTTGTCACCTACTTTGAACATCACATACTTTGAACATATTTCCTAATAAGTGATTAAATCCTTGTCACAAATTGACTTTATTTTCACAAATTTGAACATCTTGGAACTTATTTAAGATTCACAACTAAATGCATAGCTTACCAAAGTTAGATGAGGCTAATGACATGTTCTGAACTTCCTTTACGGGAAGGGAGCAGAATTTTAGTGGACATGTATATGGACATAATAAATTTGCATTATTCAATACCTATAAATCCTAACAGATTCGTGAAAAACTTGCTTTGATGTTGGTGATGGTTAGACGAACCAAGATGAATTAACCTGTACAGGAAAATTTCATTTATATAGTTTTCAGAGGAGTAAAATAATATATAAGTGAGAAAAATGCCTAACTGACAATTTTTAACGTATAGGTGCAAAATAAAAACTCAATATTTTGACAATACCGTTGTTTGAAACTCTAAATATTTTCAAGAAAGAAAGTCCTCAAGAGCCAAATCTTTGTTCGCATATTTCTGCTAAGGCATATATTTTCCATACAACTGGTCCATAAACACGTGCAATATTTGATTTTTTTCTTACAAATGCACCAAATTTTGATCATGCAGTGTTGGCAAAGACTGACCATATGACACTAGCAGGGCACTTACAGCCTGTAGTTTTGCCTACAGTTCAACTTCCAGCGGAGAACAGATTAGGCCTGTGTAATAAAAAAACTAAACAACTTGAAAACTGAGCCAAACACACACACACAAATTCCTTGGGCTCCTCTAGAATGACCCAATTGTTCTCACTTATTGAATACCTATGTAGTTATGTTTTTCGTCAATTGGGCTTTCTGTATTGACTTCAATGGTGAAAATCAAAGAAACATTACAATCATATCTGAAATAATGTAGCATGGAATGAATAGGAATTTAGATAGGACCTAAAAAACTACAATGAATAAACATTCTATTTTCCAGTATGAGTATCATAATTCTCTTTCTTCTTACATTTCTGAAAATAAATTTGTCTCATTTTCTCATGAAATATTTTAAAATATGTTGACTAATAAAATAGCAACCAAATACTATTGTGTTTCTTGCTACTAATTTCATGCTGTTTCTGTAAATTTGTTAGTTGCAAATATGGCACTTTCGAATGACTTCTCAATTCTTGCTTGAATAGAATCTTCTACTACTCCAGAGTTAAATGTTTTCTAATATGTAAAATTTGATGGTTAGGAAGATAGGATATACTATAAATGATACACTATACATAAAAGATCAATAATTATTGTGTTTCTCATTAATATTTTAAAATAAAAAAATAATCTGCATAAGTATTTTCTATGTAATTGAATTTTAAGAGTTTTCAATTTCAATATTTGTCATGTAGTATTAGATAAAGGAGCAAACACAGTTTTCAAACATGTTTTTAAATTTCATGTGTTTGATTTCATTATTTTATTTATATTATATTAATTTTGTAATCATTATTTTTCTTAATGCAAATTGTTCTGTAGTAATTTTCAATTCTTAATATCAATTGCCTTTCAAATATTTTTTACATGGATGTTCCTTTCTATTGACAGTTCAATTAAAATTAACATATATTGTTTTTTCATACAGCTTTTACCTGATAATGTTGTGGATCCAATGGAACTGTTATCGTATTTGGACCCACCCGATTTGGCTACACCACCTTCGAGTGGGGCTAGTAGTAACGGCAACAATGGCACACCAGGCAATACTACCAGTGATGACATTCTGGCACTCTTTGAGTGAATATTATTTACCCATCCCTCTCGTAAACGTTCCTTTTACTTAAGTAAATTCATGCAAGTGTGAGAAATGAGCAGCAAGGAAATAGACTTGCGTTGTGAACTTGTACAAAAATGCAGTGTTCCTTTTGTTGTAACTTAACTGTGGTTGTGTGATAAGTGATTTATTCAGTTGAAACTAGTGTGACTATTCTAAAATGAAATGTACAACTGAAGTGACATTGAAATGAAAAAGCAATCACAAGAGTACAGTGTTCCTATAGTGTCACAAATAATGCAGCCTCAATACAGCTGATGTTGCAGAGTACCATCCTTACCCCATTGTTCCTTAAACTTAACTACTATAATTTCAGTTTTTACTGTGCTGTAAAAGAAAGAAAAACAATCATAAACATTTGTATGCAGTAGTGAATACTGTGTGTACAATCTTGAGCGAAGGGTGAGTTACCGACTAAAGTTGTTTCCTAATTAATGTTTTATAAAGCCAAAAGACAAATTAAATTAAGGTAGGATGAGAAATTTTTACTTGAAACAAGACTGCACAAGTAGGATCATTCTCGGCCTGGCTAATTGTCATTAAAATTCTATCTTTGCTGTAAAGTAAACAAGTGTGATAGGAATGGGAAGGAAATTGAAGAGATAATGTTTTGTGATATTGTTCAATGCATGTGACCAAAGCAGCTACGTAATAATCTAAAGAGATACTGTAGGTATATTCATTGTATACAAAATGAATCCTTCCTGTAAATTTGCATACAACAGAGTGCAGCATTTTGTTACGTTTCTCTAAAGGAGGGTGAGCAAAGAAGTGTCATGATACATGTGTGCGAGGACTATGTCCACTTACTACTGTGGAAAAACGAGGAGATGAAGCAAGATTGAAAATGAGAAAGAATGTATGTGTATTTATTGTAAATAGTGAAAATATTGGCAGACAGTAAATATCGGCCAGTTTAGAAGTTTAGACATACTGTAATAATAATTATTATATATTTTACCTGTCGTCAGAACCAAACTTGTATAAAATCTGTATAATTATAAGGACATTCACACATACACTACATTCATGCATCATCTGCATGGCTCGATACAAATTCAATTATATATTGTCTTAGTGTACAGCTTTAAGAAAGTATTATTAGTGAGATGCACAAAACATGAACCCTTATGTTCATACGTAGATGAGCATACAGAGGAAAAGAAACAATCTTCAAAACATGAATTATTGATGTTGAAAAACTTATAAATTTCTTATTGCATTATATTTTTTTAAAAAGTAGAGTGTTAAATATGTGAAATAGTTCTAAAACAAGGAATTTTCTCAAGAATTTGATAAACAAGAAGGATCTGTTAAAATCTTTCATGTTACACAATGTTCTATGACAATTAAAATACAGTTTTAAAATTCTGAAGTTATGCTCATCTACATATTGCCATAACATGTAGATGCACTTCAATATGTGGCAATCTCTTGTGACACTCATACCCGTACAATTTACATACTCCCTTACATAATATATGTACATACATTCTGTATGTGCATCCATTGTATTCTCCTTACCCTTGTTTCCAGTCTACAGTAAAGAGGATTCCAGTATTTTGGGCATGTAGTCTTATAAAGAAAGTAGAGTGATCTGGAAGTTTGTACATTAATTATGAAATGAACAGTACAAACTATGTGTCTCTGGCTACTAATTTACATTAAAACAAGAAAAACAAGTGTGGTACCAAAAATAATTTGGTTTTAACATTTAGGTCTGAACAGTGAAATTTTGGGGGGTTCATAAACAATTCAAAAAGCAGAGATCATTCTCCTTCCCAGCGCATATTTGTACATTTTCGTTTAAAGAATATGTGTATATACATATTAAAATATAATTGTGGAGAATTTGTATCAGTCTTTAAACTATTTTTATTGAAGTGTATTCACATTAATGTACATATTTTTGTAAGTTATAAGTATTTTAACATGTGTTTTGAAAGTAAGTGAATACACTTGTTTTAAAGGAAAGCAAATCTGCACAATTTGAATATTACAAATGTCATAATTGTATTTTAAATATTATGTACTCTTCTTTCTGATAAAAAATGTACAATTGTGCAACTGATTATAGAGTTTATGCGATTGATTTGTTAATGCATTGTACATTGAAAAATCAGTATAGGGGCAATCTTTTCCCCTCTGGTATGGTGCCATATCTTATTTGATCATAAGTTTCATCTAATTCACATTTTAGAAAGGTTGTATTGTGCAGAACATTCACATCTTGCTAATAAGAACTGTTATATGAAGTTGAAAATTTGTCAACTTCTGACCCATGAAATTAATCCAGTATTGTACATATACTTACATTTTTAGATTATTTTATTGATAGTGCTTTATGCAGGAAATACTGGACTGAAAAATTCTTCTAACTTCTTTACTTGTCAGTCTTTGTTTGTCATAATTTTACTGTTTTCTTTATTTCTGTTCTATGGTTCATTGTGCATCAAGTGGTATTCAGAAATTGAAATGTCAATACTGATCATTTTGTACTGTGTGTTAGCGTTGGACATATTGGTACTTGATCAGAAATTCAATACTGTTATGTATTTAAGAAATGTTTTACATTTGTAAATATCCTTGTTTTTGCTAGATACATAAATTATTTGTGGCAAATGAAGAGAATAGAAGCCAAATTAAATAAGTGACATTTTGTTTGTAGATGATGTTTATATAACAATCAATTGTATATCAATTTCTGTAGAAATTTAAAACATTCATCTGAAATTCTTTTGTATATAGTTTTTTAATATATAAACCACTGCCACATACAATTACAAATAGAAAGAAAGGGAGTTAATTCATTCAACATATCACAAATTGTGTTTGTTCAGTCACCTCTTAAGTTGAACAATGCTTCTCACAGTCATTTAAGAAGGGTTGGATGGGCATGAGTGTTAGATTATGATAGTCATAACTTAATCAGTTCTAATTTCTTCTAAAATTACTGAAAAATGAAAGAAGATGCACATTGATTGATCTATTAATGATTTTGCCCTTTGGAATTAATTAACCAATTACTATTGATGGTACAAGATTGTTCAGAATTACAAGAACAATTTTTAACTTTGGATGCAAAAGGAAGGGGATGTTTTGTTAAATGTTGCCCCTGGACCAAGCTGTAAATTTTCCCACATCAGCTTTGGGCTTTAGATCTAGTATTTCACTGTATCCATCACTGTCATTTTGGATAGGAACTAGCAAGATCTGTGACAAGTACTATGTATAATAATGCCAGTTGCATATTAGAAAAATAGGTAGGTCTTCCTTTAATACTGTGCTTACCATACAGTATGTTTAACTTCAAATATTGTACATAGTTTCCAATGTAGATGTATTTCTGCAAAAATGTACTATTACACTTGAATTAATTGAAATATTAATCTACCCTTTCCGCACATCATTTTTACTAGATTTTATGAAGGGAGTGTTGTGGGGTGTGTTGTGTGATCCTATCTGGTGATGGCATGATGAACAAAAAAATATTTTTTTAATGAAAATGTGCATCTTATAGAAAGTCATCCAAAGGGAAATGCTTAGAATGGTGCTAATAAATAATTCAGTAAGAGTCCTGGAAGAGGGGTGGAGTAGTGTGGATTGAATATCTTCATTAGAAAAGAGATATTTATGGCAATGTTGTACAAGAATGACTTGCCTTCTATACTCCTACATTGAATTATCTATAATTTAAGAATGGCAGATACCTCCATTACATTCCTCCTTTCACTTTATAATCCAAAAAAGAAAAAATACAATTTGCTTGCCTGCTACAGGGTGATCTTACTTAGAAAAATATAAGAAAAATTTAAAAGCCAAGATATTTTCTGTTAGTTTTTAAACCTTGAAAATCATATTTGCTCAGTTATTTGTAATAAAGAAATTAATTTGTAGCTACCTTTTTAACTTTTCATTTTATTCCAAATTAACAAAATTATTAAAATGAGGTCATGAGATATAATTTAATTTGTATAGTAAACTTAGAAATTTTAAAAAAAAATGGTTTTATACGATTATATCAATTGGAACTAGTAATAACTATTAACTTAAAATTTGTTTTTGAACATTTAATACCCACATACTTCTTATTTATGCAATGCAGCAAGCAGGTATTTTGAGATAACATTACATTGGTCACAGAAGCAATTTGAGATTGATAGAAGTGCATTAGATGTGGCTGCAAGTCACAGCCATATAAATGAAGGAATAAATGAGACATCCAGAAACTGAGTATGCAGAGGAATAATAATAGTTTATTGTGCACACATGAAACAATAATTCAAATCAACATTCAAAGAAATACAAAAGATATTTCAGCACTAAGGTATGATGTATTACAATATGAACACAAGAGCTTAATTTGGACCAGACCTGTAATTAAACTTAACTACTTCACATTCTTTTTAATAATATATAGAAAGATAGTACAAGCAATTTCAGAAAATATTTTAATTCCATTCCTTCACTTATACTCGATTTACTCTTATGTAGAAGGGGCAATTGAAAAAATACTTATTACAAATTAACAAAACTCCACTCTACGAAAATTTAGCGTCTTAAACCCCTCATCTCATGACAATATCCTCTGAGGTACTCCAAAAGAGAAAATCGGAACAATTTAGCAGTTTAAAATGAATTTTAAGTTCCACCGATAAAGTTTAATGTTACGGTCATCGGGTAATGGATCGCAATTGACAACTTTATTTGTGTGGAAATACCGAAGGAGGATGATCCGAATCATCCCCATTCGAAATCATCAAAGCGCTATTTCTTACGTGGCGTGTGGAGCTTTTAAAAACAAAGCGCCGTGCGTGTAGAGTGGCAAAACGTTTCCCTAGCAATTAATTGAAGAAAAGCTATGGGAGAGAGAAGATATCCTCTGGAGGGAGTGAAGACTCAAATTAATGCCAAACGAAGCAGTAGCGTGAAATTAAATACATACGCAAATATGTTAAGAACGGTTCCTATCTGACAGCGTCTTGAGTGCCACTGTGGTCAGAAGCGGATTATTAACTTTGTCGCCTGTAGGCTCGCGAAAATTGCCTCCTCCTCCGTCTTCAGATAACCCAGGAAAAGAGTTATACATTATAACAAGTATAATGTGTTTTCAAAAATTGGACAAACTTATTTGGGGCTAAAATTAAATATAATTTATTAATAATTTATGCGTGTTCATTTTTCTACGGGAATTCAATTAATTTTTAAATATATTTCAATTTATCAATTCACCGTTTTTTGTTGTTATGCATATTTATTATTTTATCATTGTTCTGCTTTTAAATCTTAAATTTACCAAGATGTCTACATTTAACACTAGAAAATATGAACGAAATAAGGCATCTTCAAACGTACTACAAAAATTACGTGAATTTAAATACGTAAACTTTGTGATGTAAATAATTTTCTCGATGTAGCATGACTCCTTTTTGGTTATTGTAATTAAATCTTCATTGTATGACGTCTGAGATGTAAACATCGCTCATTTTAACTTATCATAAGTCATACAGCAGAAGGTTTTATCAGCCTGCTAATAAATTAATTTTCGAGTTTTTTAATAATTTTCTTAAAAATCTCATAGAATATAAATGAAAAAAGAAAAATCGCACAAGATAAAGAAGAGGGTCTTCGGACCCAATTTTCGTTCTCAAATTTTGCCGCACCTAAAATTTTTCCCCCGGAGGTACGTGCCTCCTGTGCTTATGCACAAATCCACCTTTGACCATGCTACCTTGCCTGAAACCGATACTATCCGCTTTACTGCCAGATTGTATGTGATATCGTTTCAGAAAAAAATATTTTTTCATATTATTTATATAAAATACGTGAAAATGTAAACTACTCGTGCGGACATCGGTAACTTCCAGCAACAGGAATCTAAACAATTCACAAAACACAAACACACAAATGGCACGGACTTTCTCGCACTGTCTTTCTGATATCTTAAGACTAGGGTAGCTTTGTAGCCTTATAAATCTAGCAGCGCCCATAAACCAAACTCAACCAAACTATATTCAAAATTAAAGGTTTTATCCAAAATTAAGCTTTCAGCTAATTAAGTTTCCGAATTTTAGGTTCGTGTGGATTTCCCAAAATCGTGGTTGCTGCTAGCTTTAGACTAAAGTAAGCAGCATCCACCTGGAAAATACAACTTTGCATTATTGGAAGTCAACGAAAATGCATTAAAAATTAATGGTTCCAAAAAAAGGTTCTTGGAAAAAAAAAACTGTTCCAGCCCATTTTCCCCCTAAAACAGGGCTGTGCAAACATAAACAGGTAACATACGTTCTTATACAAGAAATCTAAGATACAAGAAGATTCTAAAACCTAAGAAAAAATACACAACCTTACCCAAATTAAAGGCTCTAAGAAAAAAATTATCAGAAAACAGGACTGTATAAAGAAAAACAGGTAACACATGTTCTTTTGAGCTATTACACAGGAACACTAAAAGCCTAAAAACACCAAAATTCAGGGCTTATATAATGTCCAGGTTAAAATTATTCTGACCTTCATATTACCAAATTCAAGGTAGCACAAGGTGAAATGCTATGTGTGTTCTCATTGGCATCAACAAAAACTCGAACAACCCAGAAAAAACTATGATACCCTTCCCAAAATTAAAAATAATTAAAGGCTTCCGGGGGAAAAAAGTTGCTTTAACCCATAATTTACGGAAATCAGAACTGTATAAAGAAAAACAGATAACATACATTCCTACTTGTTAATATACTCGAAAACTCAAAAAACGCAGAAAAAATATGAACCGTTCCCAAAATTAAAGGCTAATTAAAGCTCTAGAAAATATTATTTCGGCCTTGATATTCCATCTTTTGGTATTGTGAAAAGTAAAAAAAATTAACATAAATTCTTAATGGCTGATTGGTCAGTTGAAAAAAACTCAAATCCTCAGAAAGATACGATACTCTTTCCAAACTCTAAGGCTAGTTTTAGGTTCGAGGGAAAAAAATTGCGGCCTTGATATTAAAAAACAGAGTATTAAAAAGTGAAATATGTAACATACTTTTTTACGGGCTAATATACTCGAAAATGCAGAGGTTCCGAAAACTATATTCAAAATATAAGTCTAATTTTATATTCTAGGGAGATTTTTTTCAGCTTAAGTTTTCGTAAATTAATGTTTGTAGAAATTAAAATATATGACGTATAGTTGTAGTAGCAGTAGGGCCACATTGTGAGATTTTGTTGTGTAGTGTAAACATATACTTGTACTTCGTCAGCAATACGTAATCGGCCAAGCAAATAAGAGTTCAGCCTCTAAAAATTTGGCGGAGTTTTGGAAAATGTTTTAATCACCCAAGTAAGTTATTAACCCTGTTATGGGTGATCTGTTATGGTAATGCTGAGGCAAAATTTTTTCGATATTTCGCAAACGATATTTAGGAAGAAACACTCATGTTAAAGGACACTGGTGGTAAAAAAAGAATAAATCTTGTACATATATGAAATAAATTACTTCTAACATGTTGCGTTGTCAAAATCCAGGTTTTGTGGGTCCTTGATACCCAAAAATCGTTTGATGACAAAACGTCGGCCTGTCTGTGGTAAACGCTAACGTGTAAACCGTTCAGACAATTTTCTCCAAAATTGATATAAATCCCAATCGATCTTGGGGAATTTAAGGCCCTGTGAGTTTGAAACGAATATTTTGATTTCGGAAGCCACATTACATGAAATCCTAACATCATTTTCAAAATTGAAAAATTGCTTCAAATATTTCGATTAAACGTTTTCGCGCAACTATCTCGTCACGAGCTTGCAAGTCAAAATTCACCGAAACTCGCCCGTGGCTTTAACTGACTGAGGCGATGAGCACTTGTCAAGAATTCCAGAACATTTCGAATCCGGTTTGTTGCTGTTTTCATCCTTAGATTGGGCAATTATTCCTCACCTCCAATCTTAAATCTAACCTCGCTTGCTCACGCGGATCTGCGCGTGGGCAAAAGACTTCAGGGTTTACGAGACCACTGATGAGTGAATGTTGCCGCACGGCACATAAATTTCTTAGCGATCATGCAACTTTGAAATTTCATGTCAAGGCAATTACGACGATTACACAACTGTACTCGTAATCTTTATAGATTACTTGGAATAGTGCAATAGTCACCAAAGTACATAAACTACTAAATCTCTTAATTAATGTAACGAGTGACAAACTGTGATCTGTTTTTTCGAATTGGAACAATGAACACCTGGAGCCTAGCATGACTCGCGCGTTTGCGGATGTTCAATAATAACGCGAACTGAAGCCATCATGATCTTTAATGTTCTCTAGAATCTAGTGTTACCAAAACAATGTTGCAATACTTCAACATATTTATGTCAGGAGACTTCGTGAAAGCAATTATTCAATGGCTTAACTCTAATTCTCATGCGCGAATAGTAATGAGATCACTTGTAAATTTATACATTTCAGACCAAAATGATATTTAATACGTAAGATTCAACTTCTTACATATTAATTAAGAATTAGTAGGCAAGCACTATTTCTACTGTTTATGCCCATGACCAAGCAGAGAATCACGAGTGAAAAAGAAAAACATTTCGCTGACATCCTCAAGTGTGTTACGCTTTCTTGCACAAACGACCAACTAGTTCATAAGCCCCTTTTCAGCAGAACCTTTTGTGCAGTTTTGTGAACGCACGGAAAGTGCAATGTGCGTTCACGTCACCGCGGTGGAACCATTCCTATCCTTAAGGGCATCTATGGTCAACCCTGCAACATGAAGAAAAACAGAAGGTCAAAAAATGACTTAAGCATACTGGCGCGAGCATTGCATGTTTGGAAATACTACGTTTGTGTTTCAAGTCTCACTTCTCTGTTTCAGATTACTCTTACTCCAGGAAGTGCTTCAGTCGCCTATACTTGGCCCTTTGATCGGGTTGGTATGAGGCGATCACA